TGGTAGAGGAAGGGAAATATCATAACCTCAACAGTAAAGTAACTGTCTCGGAGATATATGGTAGAGGAAGGGAAATATCATAACCTCAACAGTAAAGTAACTGTCATTGAGATATATGGCAGAGGAAGAGGAATATCATAACCTCCACAGTAAAGTAACTGTCTCGGAGATATATGGTAGAGGAAGGGAAATATCATAACCTCCACAGTGAAGTAACTGTCACTGAGATATATGGCAGAGGAGGGAAATATCATCCTCAAAAGTAAAGTAACTGTCACTGAGATATATGGCAGAGGAAGGGAAATATCATAACCTCAACAGTAAGGTAACGGTAACTGTCACTGAGATATATGGCAGAGGAGGGAAATATCATCCTCAACAGTAAAGTAACTGTCACTGAGATATATGGCAGAGGAAGGGAAATATCATAACCTCAACAGTAAAGTAACTGTCACTGTGATGTATGGCAGAGGAGGGAAATATCATGACCTCAACAGTAAAGTAACTGTCACTGAGATATATGGTAGAGGAAGGGAAATATCATGATCTCAACAGTAAAGTTACTGTCACTGAGATATATGGCAGAGGAGGGAAATATCATAACCTCCACAGTAAAGTAACTGTCACTGAGATATATGGTAGAGGAGGGAAATATCATCCTCAACAGTAAAGTAACTGTCACTGAGATATATGGCAGAGGAGGGAAATATCATCCTCATCAGTAAAGTAACTGTCACTGCGATATATGGCAGAGGAGGGAAATATCATCCTCAACAGTAAAGTAACTGTCACTGAGATATATGGCAGAGGAAGAGAAATATCATAACCTCAACAGTAAGGTAACTGTCACTGAGATATATGGAAGAGGAGGGAAATATCATAACCTCAACAGTAAAGTAACTGTCACTGAGATATATGGTTGAGGAAGGGAAATATCATTACCTCAACAGTAAAGTAACTGTCACTGAGATATATGGTAGAGGAAGGGAAATATCATAACCTCCACAGTAAAGTAACTGTCACTGAGATATATGGCAGAGGAAGAGGAATATCATAACCTCCACAGTAAAGTAACTGTCTCGGAGATATATGGTAGAGGAAGGGAAATATCATAACCTCAACAGTAAAGTAACTGTCACTGAGATATATGGTAGAGGAAGGGAAATATCATAACCTCAACAGTAAAGTAACTGTCTCGGAGATATATGGTAGAGGAAGGGAAATATCATAAACTCAACAGTAAAGTAACTGTCTCGGCGATATATGGTAGAGGAAGGGAAATATCATAACCTCAACAGTAAAGTAACTGTCACTGAGATATATGGTAGAGGAAGGGAAATATCATAACCTCAACAGTAAAGTAAATGTCACTGAGATATATGGTAGAGGAAGGGAAATATCATGACCTCAACAGTAAAGTAACTGTCACTGAGATATATGGTAGAGGAAGGGAAATATCATAACCTCAACAGTAAAGTAAATGTCACTGAGATATATGGTAGAGGAAGGGAAATATCATGACCTCAACAGTAAAGTAACTGTCACTGAGATATATGGCAGAGGAGGGAAATATCATCCTCAAAAGTAAGGTAACTGTCACTGAGATATATGGCAGAGGAAGGGAAATATCATCCTCAACAGTAAAGTAACTGTCACTGCGATATATGGCAGAGGAAGGGAAATATCATAACCTCAACAGTAAAGTAACTGTCACTGAGATATATGGCAGAGGAGGGAAATATCATCCTCAACAGTAAAGTAACTGTCACTGAGATACATGGCAGAGGAGGGAAATATCATGACCTCCACAGTAAAGTAACTGTCACTGAGATATATGGTAGAGGAAGGGAAATATCATGATCTCAACAGTAAGGTTACTGTCACTGAGATATATGGCAGAGGAGGGAAATATCATAACCTCCACAGTAAAGTAACTGTCACTGAGATATATGGCAGACGAGGGAAATATCATCCTCAACAGTAAAGTAACTGTCACTGAGATATATGGCAGAGGAGGGAAATATCATAACCTGAACAGTAAGGTAACTGTCACTGAGATATATGGCAGAGGAGGGAAATATCATCCTCAACAGTAAAGTAACTATCACTGAGATATACGGTAGAGGAAGGGAAATATCATTACCTCCACAGTAAAGTAACTGTCACTGATATATATGGCAGAGGGGGGAAATATCATAACCTCAACAGTAAAGTAACTGTCACTGTGATGTATGGCAGAGGAGGGAAATATCATCCTTAACAGTAAAGTAACTGTCACTGAGATATATGGTAGAGGAAGGGAAATATCATTACCTCCACAGTAAAGTAACTGTCACTGAAATATATGGCAGAGGGGGGAAATATCATAACCTCCACAGTAAAGTAATTGTCACTGAGATATATGGCAGAGGAGGGAAATATCATCCTCAACAGTAAAGTAACTGTCACTGAGATATATGGCAGAGGAGGGAAATATCATAACCTGAACAGTAAGGTAACTGTCACTGAGATATATGGCAGAGGAGGGAAATATCATCCTCAACAGTGAAGTAACTGTCACTGAGATATATGGTAGAGGAAGGGAAATATCATCCTCAACAGTAAAGTAACTGTCACTGAGATATATGGCAGAGGAAGGGAAATATCTGAACCACTACAGTAAAGTACAGTCACTCAGATATATGGCAGAGGAGGGAAATATCATAACCTCAACAGTAAAATAACTTCAAAATAACAACAAAATCTATGCACAATATCAAAGTGCTTCATAAATGTTCAAGACAAAACTCTGTTCAGAACCCAAATTCAGGTACAGTACATTGTACTAGTATTTATCATATAATGGGCAGGTTTCTCGGCAGGATAAAGCCAACGGATAAAAACGATATCCGTTGGGGTCATATGCGGATAGAGATGCAAATATCAAAGGTCAAGTAGGACTACTTTCACTGTTTATAAACAAACATGGCGTCGTCCTCGTCATTCGGCGATCGAGTCAAAATTAACCATCGGGAATCTGGATAAACAACAGGGATAATTGCTATCATTATCAAAAAAACAGTCTAATATACTGAAAATCAGTGTCTAACTGTGACGTAGCTAAGGCATTTTATAAGTTTTGGCTACTTTGGAGGTATAAATTTCGAAACAATTTTGCGAGGGCGCGAGGCCTAGCCAAGGGGGATCAGTAGCAATATCTGTGCTTGTAGACCTCTGCGACTTGAAACCTTCTCCACAAATTAAAATAGTTGGATTTGGCCGAAATATGTTTGAATTGTTACCTTGTTTGGTTTTGTCGCTGTGTGTACATCTTGTAGGGTTATCTATATTATATATGACTATGATTAGGTGCTCTACCGCCTAAACATTACTAGCTCTGTTATGCAGGGACTGGGAACACGACAACACGTCAAGTACGATCCCAAACCTACGGTGGCCCATAAGGGACATGAGGTTTGTTTTTCAATATTTTGTTATCTCACTTACTGTTATCATAACCTTTTGCAAATTAACACGATTTGTCATACAAATATGTGATAAATCATGAATAAAGAAGATACTGAATCGCTGGAAAGTGAAGCGAAAATGTCAAAAACAAAAATGAAAATGTCAAAAACCAAAGCGAAACTGTCAAAAATTAAAATTAAAATACAGAAAACTATTTCCACCGCGGTGATAATATTTCCACCGCGGTGAAAACTATTTCCACCGCGGTGATAATATTTCCACCGCGGTAGAAAGTCACGTGGCATGTACAAGCCTCGTTTTGATACTCGACAGCCATTTGTAATTCGTCTGCTCTACTGGTTGCAGCGGCCGATTATGAAACGGACAGTTGATGAGGTAGGGTGGTTGACATCTATCCTTGACCACAGTAAAATGCATGATTATCTAGTATAACATGTTAGCCAAGTAGTAAATAAAGTTGATGTTAACTAGAGATACGATCTTTACCGCTGAAAATATGTGCAGGTCTGTGATACTGATAATGGTATATATATTTCCCTATAGGGTCTGCGTATTTCTCGAAGACATTGGTGTAGAAACAGCTACAGTGTTACGTTTCCGACAAAACAAGGTAAGTTACAGGAAAAATGGAAACAGTCTAAATTGTAATTATTTGGGCCCGAATTATAGATATCAAATTTGCAAAACTAAATCGCTTTCAATAATGTAAACATCTAACAAGGTACTGTTAAAGACACCACTAAACGATCACAGCTTGTTCACATAAAAAGAGGTTAAATCATTTTGGTTCGGGTTAAATCGACAGTTCTTATCACTGTAAGCAGATGTTGTTAATTATACAGTGTAGTAAACTATCGAGACTTTTCTTTACTTCAAAAGTAGTAAATATTCCTCATGCCAGTCTAAATGACTTGTTTGTATTCATTAAACTGTTCCTTTTCCCCAAATTAGAAGTTAAAGTTGTTAATTAAGATACAGTTGTTTTGGAGACAAAAATTCTTTAGATTTAGTGTGCTTGAACTTCTTTCTGCATCTTTTAATGTAGCTTTGTTGATATTTGAAAAAGAAACCCAATATTTTCCAGATACTAACATTGTTGTGGGTATGTTCTAGTCTGTTTTAAAGCTTATCAGTATGAAATTATCTATCGACTTTCGTTTCTTTACATGACTGAGAGTTATAAAGTCTACTTTGTGGTACATAGCTCTGTCAGTTCATAGCTCTAATCAATTAATAAGCGTACGTAAAACAGCGTATATTCTCGCCTCGGAATTAACTGACCATTTCAACATCGACAATTACGTGATTTAATCAAGAGTTACTATTTAAAATATATTACTTTCATCCCAGTCGCAATAGCTTAATGATAGAACGCTCGGATAAATTCCTCAAGAAATTAGACAGACTTTATGGCACGACATAGAGGCAAAAAACCTCTTTAAAGTTCCCATCACAGGGTTCGAGATAATTGAGCACTGTTCGATTTTATTATCCGCGCCAATTGAAATACTACATCATAAATAAATTGTTTCAATCGGCGCGGTTTTACTAACCACTAGCCCCTAGCGGTTAGCGTCTTGCAGTGGTAAAACCGCGCCATATGGAAACTGAGCCGCTGTACTTTTCAACATAGTTTTTCTATAGCATCTCATCCGCCTCCCTAAACGTACCCCAAACCGCGTTTAAAATTAAAACACGTTCCTGTCTGACGTATTTGAAACGTTATGCCTTAAACATTGTGAGGGAAATAACCAGAACACAACCTTGCGCGTTCGGATTACGTTATACATGTATGTTAGCTGGGTACAATAGGCTACATAACATTCAGTTTGCTGAATTTGAACGAGCTTGCAGAAATCTGATTGTGCATTTTAAAATTCATCTTAACCAAACGATCTTAACCATGATGTTTCAGGTTGACTCAGAAGCAGTATCAATATTTGGTAACTGTGACTTTCAAAAATTAGGGTTGACAGCCTTGGGGTATGTTGCGAAGCTCAAACATTTCTGTGATAGCCCGCCTTCGGCTAACACAGAGCATACACCTCCAAGTACAACCATCTCGGAAGATTTGCAAGCTGCGTCCCATGTACGGGAAAGAAGGAAGAAATTGCTAGACATGCTGAGAAGAAATAAGAGGTCAAGTAGAACAAATCCAGAGACTACAAACACAGCGGGCAGACCTAAAAAGAGCACAAGAACCATTAATATCGGTATGCGACTTCTTAATGAACGAAAACGCGACAAAGATGGCTGGAGAATAGCTAAATCAATCAAAGCCCCACTTGGAGACAAGAACTGTATTGTTATGGAATTTTCACTGGATTCAACATATGACACATTGAAGACTAAAATAGAGTCGGCGCTGTTTGTGAACGGAAATAATTCCGTTCTCGGAAATGCTACTGACTATGATTAAGAGGTCGTCAATGGAAGGAATGAAAATCTTAATGACACTCTATCCTGCAGTTTTAATTTAGGAAACTATATTGAGGAAAAAAGGATCCGGGAGCCATTCGCTTCTACCTTCTTTGCAGTCCACGGTGTCTAGTCAGTGACACTGATGGCAACAGTGGTGAGTATCATACATCACGGTTTAACAGGATCGCATACAAGATTGTTTGACGCGTTGATTGTAATTGATTTTGGTGCATATTTATTAATTTACTTTCCAGATTCAGACACAATACTTCCAGAATTTGACCTTGGAACGCCAAGTGGGGAAGTTTTGCTTCGTCGAAGGACTCGAAACCGATCAAACACCTCACCTTCCGCAAGTCAATCAAACAGATCATCGACCTCGACGTCATCAACTACAGTATACCCTTCCACCACGACTTCGTCTTCAGAATTACCCCTTGTCACAGCATCGTCAACGTTTCATCTCGCTTTCACGTCTCAGCCTCCGCTGAATCCTCTGACCATGCCACCCTCCACAGTACACCCATCAACCAACACCTCACAAAATACCGCTGATCATCTGACCACTCCACAGTACACCCATCAACCAACACCTCACAAAATACCGCTGATCATCTGACCGCTTCACAGTACACCCATCAACCAACACCTCACAAAATACCGCTGATCATCTGACCACTTCACAGGAAATAAACTGTCCTTCTGTTCCATCGACATCAATAGCAGGATACAACATGCAGCGGTAGGTATGAAACATTATCAAAGGTTATAGTCAAACTGTTTTGGGGATATAATTAGTCTTATCTTAACAAAGTGGCTGGAGCCTACTTATTGGGACAAAACATATTATAACCCGCTACAACGAAGTAGGCAGGGGATCATGATACGGCGTCCGTCCGTCCGTCTGCCCGTCCGCATGTACGTCCCGAAATCGTTTCCGGTGCATAGCTCAGAAACCGTTAAATATTTCCAAACGAACCTTTGCATGCTGATCAGGCTCATGCTCAACTGGTGCTTTTGCTATTGATGAATTTTACAGATTATTATGTTTGACGTTTCTGTGACAACAGGTTTGACTTAAGTTAGTTAACTTAGGTTAGTGTGGCTAAAGGGACTGTTTGACTAGTTTTCCTGGCTAGGGACCCGCATGCCATATTAAAATTGAGTTTGACTATTTCCTTCTATAATGTAGCAATTCCTGTAAAACAAGTCACATTTGATTACCGAATTTAATGCTGTTTTCTGATTATATTTCAGAGACTATGCCGAACTAATAACATATTCTGACTCCGAGGAAGAGTTCCAGGCGGCCATCCAGGCAAGCCTAAGTGAGACTGTGTCCACTGGAAGAATAGAAAAGTATGTGTATCTTACACAATTAAACCCATGTAGGAATACAAAAAGTACACTCTTAAAACCGTCCCCACGGCTGATCAACGAATCATATCTATGAGTGAGTGAGTGAGTTTGGTTTAACGCCGCTTTTAACAGTATTCCAGTTATATCACGGCGTGTCAGCTTAATGTGGGAGGAAAGCCCGAAGTGATGCAGGTCTAAGACGTTTACCACTTCGGTGAAACCCACGAGCACGGGTATGGTGCTGACAAACCTAGAAACATAATCGGGACGAACCGGGATTCGAACTCACAATCATAGGTTTCTGGCGTGCCAAAGGGACGCAACTCTGCACAGCGAATTGCAGCGCCTTAGACGACTGGGCCACCCGTGCCCCCCATATCTATGAGACCTGGCGTATTATGTTCAAACTTTAAGATGCGGTTGACAGGTGACATCTTAATTTGTGATAGTTGCTAGCAGTCCTTATTCCCGATCTCATGTAGTTTTGGTTATTACTGAAGGTGCCCGGATTCCTCCGAAGTGGTGATAGGTATAAGAGAGAAAGTTGCTCCGGACAAAGGAACAACGCTCCTGAATGTAGTCAGAGGAAAGGTGTTAGATGGTGCCAGTAGAGCGATCAAGCGTCCTTCTTTCGATCCACAATGTTCGCTTTCTGTTAAATTCATGGATGATGTGGGGACAACTGAAGGTGCCATTGATGAAGGTGGACCAAGAAGGGAGTTCTTTAGTCTCGTCGCAAGAGAGATCAACGATAGTCCGATGTTCTCAGGGCCAACTGGTGATAAGTTTATTATCCCGAACCAAAGAGGTAAACTGTAACAGTATCATATAAGTCCATTTATGTAGCGCTGAAATTACATATTGACAGATGCTAAGTAGGTCATTTATGTTCCCTCGGTCACCGGTCACCATACTTCCATCATACAATGGTCTGATTTCATTTTTGAATATGCAGGTGCTTCATTTGTTCTCATACATTTTAGAAGCACAAGGAAGGTTGTGTTTTGATAGTAAAGTAAACGTCTCTAATTTATTTATATTTCAGCTATGGATAAAGATCTGTACTTTATTGTGGGTGTGCTGATTTCTTTGTCCCTGGCGCATGGCGGTGCTCCACCTCGGATATTTTCGGAGAAAATGTACAGCTGGATAACACAAGGACCGAGTTTCATCAAATCGAGTATTGTTTTGGCAGACCTTCCCCGTGGAACAGACATTTACGAGAAGCTTCACCGTGTACAAACTCAATTTTGTTTCTCTTCTTATCAATAATTTCTGACTAAATCTGATGCATAACTATAGGCAAAAACAATACATTTGATTGTAACTGAACGGAGAAAACTACACGAAAGGGGCGGTATATATTTCTTTTAAAATAAACGCATTGAATTACATGTTTTGATATTGTTGTTTTAATACAGGTGAATAATGCCAATAACCTGGACGAGCTGCAGGCTGCTGCTGGAGAGATGAGCAGCTTCCTAGAAGTGGCCGGATGCAGTATAATCCTTCAGGATATGAAGGACAAGGAGAGACTCGTCCGAGCGTGTGTACAGTTCTACATGGTAGATCGAGTTCAGTCATGTATGACAAGGTAAGTGAAAGTATAATCTAATGTTTGCTCAATTCATTTATTTAATACCACCCTCATGAAAATAAACATACCTTCATCTTTTAGAATATTTATACATTCTCGTTGGAAAATAAATTATATGTCAGTGTGCTTTGTATAGATGTTGTGTATTTGAATTTTGAAATTTCATGGTTTCAGACTAAACATTGACAGTTATTACAGTATGCATTAGAGTTTTGCGAGTGAAAGTTGGAAAAAAGAATGAAATAACATTCTGGAAACATAACAATACCATCTTTATACATATGTGAATAAGCATCTTCACTAACAGTGGTTAAACGTTTCCAAATCTGTCATTGATTAAATTTTATGTTTGCTGAAAGTAATAATGCTGCTAATGTATACTCATTAGGATTAGCGGAGAAAATAATATTAAATGAATTTAATGCTCAACATTTAACGTTTTCAGATTCTTAGAAGGTCTTTCGACACTTGGTGTCCTAGAAACAGTGAGAAAACAGCAATCTTCCTGCAGTGATCTGTTCTGCAAATCCGTGGATAATCTTGGCTTGGACACCGTCACGGAACTGTTTAAGCCAGTTCTGAACCCTGAAGGTACAAACAGAAGACGAAAGGAAGTTTCCACATTGGCGTATTGGAGTGACTACCTGAGTGACGTGAAAGGTATTCAAATGAAATGAAACTTGGTATTTTTCATAAAGATTTTGATGGGGAACATACAAATGAGACTTATAATGCATTTTTTAGGTTTTACTGGTAATGTATGATTTAATATCCCTGAAGGGAGTCATTACATTTGTATCTGCAATTGGTCTTATGTTTGTATATTTAGCACAGTGCAGGCACATATGCATAACTGTAATTTTAAATTAAAAAATAATAAACTATGCCTGTTTATGGGTGTGATTTCAGAGGGGGAATCAAGACTGCAATTCTCCGACATATTGATGTTCGACACTGGATCTGAATCCATACCACCTTGTGGATTTGATACAAACCCACGACTTGAGTTTCTGCCAGATTCACCAAACATGAGATATCCAACAGCCAATACCTGCAGCTGCATTTTAAGATTGCCTGTGTCCTATGATGAATACAGCGAATTCAAAGAAAACTTTGAGTTGCAGTGTTGAATGCTGTTGGGTTTGGTATTGCGTGATAACCTTTGACAGTTGTTATCTATAATTATTGTTGACAGTAAAGAACACCTATAGTATGAGGAAGACTTTCCTATTTGATCAGCATTTTCTGCTTGAAGAAAAAGTACAGATTGTTTTGTTAAAACTACCATTACCACTGCGGTGTCTGGGAGTTTGTACACAAAGGCACGCGTCTTTAAATCGTGTTAAAACAACAACCAAAACGATATAGTAAAAAAATATTTTATATGAGGTTAACTCGCACTCGCCCGTCTTCTCCATAAGAGTAAAGGTTGGACACTTCTCTGCCGGTATGCTCCCTTGAGACCAGCTTAGAGTTTTTCAAATTGTAAATTGCAATACACAGAACAGCTTTAAAAACATTCTTTGGACGTCCATTGATTCTGGGTATTGCAATTTTTACACTTTGAAAAACTCTTAGTGGGTCTCAAGTGAGCATACCGGCAGAGGTGTTTCAGAAGTGTCCGATCTTTATTTTTTTTGTAGAAGACGGGCGATTGCGAGCTAGACTGATACGGGTCTCTTATAAAAGATATTTTTACTATGTCAGGTTTTTTGTTTGCTGTTTTGGTTATAACACTAATTTAACGCCGCGCGCCAGTGACTGTACAGTACATTTTAACCGTCGCTGATTCACTGTGTTTGTTTGGTTTTTCAGACAAGGCTCTGAACAATCTATTTATTTATTTGTTATATCAACTTCAGTGACTAATATGAATACTTTGGTTAAACAATACTCATTTCCGCAGTATTGAGAGATTTTAGACATTTTACATTGTTTTCATATCTCATGAATGAAACCAAAATGTTAAGAAAGTGAAATATTGGTGAGTAAAACGTGGGTCACCAAGTCTGGGAACACAATTTATGTTATACATTTTACGTTTTTACGTTCTTAACCGACATTAAAGAATTATTTTTGTGAGAAAACTGAATCCCCATTTACTATTCTTTGATGTACTTCCACTTTCAGTGAATTTAACATTCATTCTCCATTAAGTGGAGATTTGCTGAATTTTGACATCCCTCAGTCATCATTACTATTTTATGGACAAGTACAAATTTAGATATGTATACCAGATGTGGTTAAATAAGAATATTCACGAAAACATTGTTTTATATATTATTTGATATCAAATTATACTTGAAATACAGTCAATAACTGCATTTCTACTCTTGTCCTTCGCCTATATACATCCAAACTTTCAAACTATATTTCTCATTTTCCCAATACGCAATATGTTATTTGTTAATAGAATTGACATAGAAACTGTATTTGAACAATATTATTTCAGTATTGTCAGTTGTCTTTGACTGAGAACATTCATGAATCTGTCCCAAAAGTTATCACCAGATACGTTAAACACTTTTGAAATCGTAGTTATGATATTTGAATTGAACTCTTTACACAGTTAAATAATGCATAAACACGTGTATTAACTGATTATCAAACAGCAAACTACAGCTTTGACATGTGTGTTCAAGTAAGCATGGTACAATTAAAACTGATTTTTTTTATATCTTTGTTACATTCGTTTTTCATCATGCAGATACGTTAAACACACCAATACGGATTGTGAAACTCCTAAACCAGTTACCGATTCGATACTTTCTGACAGAATGAACAGCGAGATAAGGGTGTGGTGTATGTCCAGGAGATGTGTTGTGGATTAAAGGGCAATATATGTCGCTCTTTTGTTTATTTGTAGCATCAGATACGTGTTCATCAGATACGTGAACTGTATACATTTTATTCAGAATTTCATTGGATTACCTGCTCATTTGACCAAAGTGCGACGTAAAGAGTCGTGCACCTTCCATTCTGAGCATGTGTCTTTGAGCACAATTTTTTAAACAAATCCTATAAATATTCCATTTTGTTCGGTAAGTAATATTTTAAACTCGACGTCAAAATATTGATGGTAATATTAGGATAGGTTTTAAAAATTTAAGATCATGAACGGATCCTATATTGTATTATTACGAGCTTATGTATACCACAAACACTGAATCTTGCAGATAACTATCTGATAATTTAATTTATGTTCATCATGATCAGTCTGTTTCTAAAACATATGTTGCCAAAAAGACTTATATCTATGATATAACTGTTAGGTCGTTCACATAGTGTATTGAGATAGTTTTGATGGAAACATACTGTAACGTTTATTTATGAAGTTTCAACAAAAAACAACAGAGCATCAGATACATTAACGACGATCAGTGGTTTCAAACTCTGTTCTTTGTCAGCTTTCTGCTAAAACTCAATATTTTCTCTTTTTGACGAAATCTCTATTATCAAATTGATCTTCAGGTGTACATTTAGTGTCGTAATTTAATTCAGAACAAATACAAAAAATGTTTGACACAAGTAAACAGCGTCATGGTGAAATTCGTATCATGAGATTTTCAGAAATCATGATACATACAATTAATTGTGTTAAGTTCAGTGAGGAACGTTTTTATCTTGGTACATTTATTGGCCATTTTGAGACATTTCTGGCAAAAAGCTACAGAGGATCAGAGTTACCAAGTAATGTTAACGTATCTGATTATATAGAATATGACCGTGTTTGTTCATTCACCTGTTACTCGCCAAAAAATACCTATTTGAGTCCCCAGTAAAGGTTTTCTGAAGACCAGGTCTTTGTGATTTTATTTAAATATGAAAAGTGTTTTTAATTGAACTTTTATTTTACCCGGAGTTCCCTCTCCAATTTAATTAGAGGCTTCTTTAAAGAGTCAACTTTTTTTTACATAACGACGGCAAGGTCAGTGTGACAGTGTGAAATCCTGCAACAGCCATACAGTACAGTGAAAACTGCGAAGATCAGCTGGTACTGGCGAAACAAGGGCAGGATGCAGAAGGTGCCATGGTTCAACGTCACCAGTTTGTTCTTATTATATTATAGATGATGGTTTTTCACTTCACCTTGATACGCCCCTGAACTGAGGTTCATTATACAAAACTGGTTTCAAAGGATGATGCTTACAAAACAGAAACCTTAATTACGTGACGATCTACTGAGTCAAGTAACAAATCTTGCATTAGCACTGAAATCTGTGTTAACGAAACGTTGAGGGTGAACACAAATGCGAGTCGTTGGCGTTACAAACTGACACACGTATTATTATAAGTAACCTTTGACCAGACGCACAGTGGATACGATCGTAATAGGAACTATATCACCTGTCGGCTGAATCTGAAATGAGTGAGTGAGTATGGTTTTACGCCGCTTTTAGCAATATTCCAGCAATATCAAGGCGGGGGAAACCAGAAATTGGCTTCACACATTGTACCCATGTCGGGAATCGAACCCGGGTCTTCGGCGTGACGAGCGAACGCTTTAACCACTAGGCTACCCAACCGCCCGAAACTGAAATGAGTTAACACATATATGGAGGTCATATTTACTCCATAATACAACAATATGGTTATCGGTTGAATGGTTTTACTATTCCAACTCATTTAAAAGTTTTTGATCAACTAGTTAACACTGTGTGTGAATATAACTTGGGAAACGATTTACCAGTTGGGATGTCAGGGACTATTTGATAACCGGGCGTTTGTGCAATCTACACGAGACGCATTTACAACTTGCAAACATCGTACAGCAAGCATAGTAATAGGAAACATGTACAAAATGATAGTCACATGAGATAACATTATTTTGTATATATAACATACGTGAATTTCATTTCAATCAGCTGATGGACCGGAGCCTCTGCACATGACAATAATCCCGTGACTCCGGAAAGTCGAAAACCTCAATGCATAGTAGGGACACTCATTATGTACGTGTCACCTGTGGACTCTGGTATGACTACGAGTATTTTCTATGTGATTGCACGCACGCTGGTTCATCAAATTAAAAACCAGACGTTATTTTGGACTAGGCAACACACTATTCAACTTTATGGGTAACAAAGCTTTGAAAATACAGATAGCTGTCCACATCATGTGAAGTTGTACATGTAACAAAACGCAGAATGGTGAAATACATAATAGAAGGATTTTCTCTGTTGTGACAAAACGTCAAAGTAGCACTAAAGAAACACCAAACCATCTATCCGTGTGTTAAGTTTTGAAATTAACTTTAACACAATGTATATGCCACTTAACGTGCATCAAGTGTGTCCAGTATGTACAGTGAGTATGTGAGTATCAGCCTCACTGATGTTCCTGGGCATTTGCAGATTCTCCTCCTCCATCATTACCTTGAATAAATCATAAGCCCTGTCGTTGCATTCGGGTTCATCTGCTGTCAGTGCCTCTGCAAGGGGCAATAGATCAACCTCGTTCAACTGTCTAAGGTAGTCGCATGCACCGTACATCTCTGGAAAGGTATACATGACGTCTGGTTTTCCATGAGGAGAAGTGATGTTTCTGGATTTTCTCATTGGATGAGTATTCCAAAGTTGAACCGTAAGGTTTAGTTCCTTACGCAATAACTCCATATAGCAAAATCTTGCACACTTGATCGACATATCTGAAGATGTGTCCATAATGCCATTGTCGACTAGCTCTTTGAAGTGATTGATCCAGAAAGCCATCCCCTGTTGCTTGAACTTACTCCACCATGCTTCGATCCTCTGATTCGCCGTTGACTTCCCATACAAAAAAGTAGTTTGAAGGCGGGCTCTGCTGTCGCCAAACGATTCCCTGAGACACTCTTGCATTATTTCTACGTTAACATTTTCTGTGCCTCTATATATCTGCCCGTATAACATAAGGAATCCCTCTCAATGACATAATTGTACTGACAAAGTTTGTACATATTCCGTAAGGGTTTTTGTTTGACGCTGAAACTTCTAACCACAGCACTTTCCTTGAAAACACATCGATGCAACCATGTACACTGAAACCGTATGGTTTCAATTTATCCCACCCGTCAATGTGCCAGAGATAGTTGGGGCCTTTCACACTATAATCTCGTCGTCTCAGTCTCCTCTGACGCCTTGACAGTACACCATCAAAATCCAATATCTTCAATACTGAACGGACAGTTTCCCTGTCAGTCACAATCCCATGTACCTGGTGCAATCGTCTATGCATAGATCGGTAACCCAGAGTGAAAGCACTGCCTCGGAGTTCTTGTTCAATGGCGCCAATTACAGTCTCTACATCATCTTTAAACTTTCTTCGAGTCAGCTGTAGATGTCGCAGAATTCTCTTTAAGTGTCTAACGCTCACATTTATGTCATGAAGGACACATAAAAACATGGTAATCTCTTTGTAAGAGAAGCCTAAATGAAAATAACGTTCAATTAGTTCATCTCTGTCTGTGGATTCTGAGCCAAAAGGCATGTAGTTTTCAGGAATAGCCATCTTAATGTTTGTGGAGCAGGTACAAAATGGCCGTCACTCCAAAACGAGGTTATCATTGTCACGTGACTTTCCACCGCGGTGGAAATTATAGAGAAAGGAAACTTGAAAAACTCAAGAAAACTATTAGAAAACTATTTCCACCGCGGTTGAAATATTATCACCGCGGTGGAAATAGTTTTCACCGCGGATGAAATATTATCACCGCGGTGGAAATAGTTTTCACCGTGGTAGAAATATTATCACCGCGGTGGAAATAGTTTTCACCGCGGTTGAAATATTATCACCGCGGTGGAAATAGTTTTCACCACGGTTGAAATATTATCACCGCGGTGGAAATAGTTTTCACCGTGGTAGAAATATTATCACCGCGGTGGAAATAGTTTTCTGTATTTTCATTTTAGTTTTTGACATTTTCGCTTTGGTTTTTGACATTTTCGTTTTGTGTTTTTGACATTTTCATTTTAGTTTTTGACATTTTCGTTTCGTTTTTCAGCGATTCAATATCTTCTTTAAACATGATTTATCACATATTTGTAAGACAAATCGTGTTAATTTGCAACAGGTTACGTTAAATGTAAGTGAAATATCAAAATATGGAAAAACAGACTCCATGTCCCATATGGGCCACCGTACAAACCGGAAGTCATTTTCGCCATGCGCACGTTGAGAAACACAAACAGGTAACCGTTTTGGAAAATGTTTACGATGCATTTAAGCTATTATATGGACTTTGCCATAAGTGCAATATGAGGTATTATTTTGTGAATGTTTCTATCTATTATATCGAAATGTTATAGGCGGTACTTGCGTAGGCTACATTTTATATAGCAGTGTAGTTAGTTCTATCTGAAATATTTGTGAGTTATGTTATAAACCACAAATGGGGAATATCTCACTCCATCAGTTTGCCATAGGTGTTTCATTATGTGTCATCAGTTAGGCCTAGTGTTTATCGTTATACGCACAATATCGTCCATTGTGTTGTCTGGTCGTGATTCGATTATTTCCAGGCCTCCATGACATAGTTAGAATATATTGTCAGTGTGAGATTGAACCACAAAAAACACAAGAAACAAACATTATCACAAAAATCTTTTTAATAACCAGATCACAGGGCATGTTTCCCCATAAACAAGTGTCAAGCTTTCGTCCAGTTAGTAATTCTTACATGTATGTTAACCTAATATTTACAATACAACAGCTGCAGTTAATGTTTTTCATTTACTATAGAAATGATCAGAACACAAATTTTATTTACAAGTAATCAATTACCATTCTTAATGAAATGTTCAGGGACATGTTCATTGGTAAAAAAATCATTTCACATGTCTGAATACACACAGGTACAATTATAAGTGATGAATCATACCCCACCTGTTGTTATCTCAGGAATGACAACACATGGGGTATGAATACACTCCAGTACTACATATAAGTGATGAATCATACCCCACCTGTTGTTATCCCCTATATGACAACACATGGGGTATGAATACACACCAGTACTACATATAAGAGATGAATCATACCCCACCTGTTGTTATCCTCTGTATGACAACACATGGGGTATGAATACACACCAGTACTACATATAAGAGATGAATCATACCCCACCTGTTGTTATCCTCTGTATGACAACACATGGGGTATGAATACACACCAGTACTATATATAAGAGATGAATCATACCCCACCTGTTGTTACCTCAGGAATGACAACACATGGGGTATGAATACACACCAGTACTACATATAAGTGATGAATCATACCTCACCTGTTATCCCCTATATGACAACACATGGGGTATGAATACACACCAGTACTACATATAAGAGATGAATCATACCCCACCTGTTGTTACCTCAGGAATGACAACACATGGGGTATGAATACGCCCAAGTACTACATATAAGTGATGAATCATACCTCACCTGTTATCCCCTATATGACAACACATGGGGTATGAATACACACCAGTACTACATATAAGAGATGAATCATACCCCACCTGTTGTTATCCTCTGTATGACAACACATGGGGTATGAATACACACCAGTACTACATATAAGAGATGAATCATACCCCACTTGTTGTTATCCTCTGTATGACAACACATGGGGTATGAATACACACCAGTACTACATATAAGTGATGAATCATACCCCACCTGTTGTTATCCCCTATATGACAACACATGGGGTATGAGTACACACCAGTACTACATATAAGAGATGAATCATACCCCACTTGTTGTTATCCTCTGTATGACAACACATGGGGTATGAATACACACCAGTACTACATATAAGTGATGAATCATACCCCACCTGTTGTTATCCCCTATATGACAACACATGGGGTATGAATACACACCAGTACTACATATAAGAGATGAATCATACCCCACTTGTTGTTATCCTCTGTATGACAACACATGGGGTATGAATACACACCAGTACTATATGAGAGATGAATCATACCCCACCTGTTGTTACCTCAGGAATGACAACACATGGGGTATGAATACACACCAGTACTACATATAAGTGATGAATCATACCCCACCTGTTGTTATCCCCTATATGACAACACATGGGGTATGAATACACACCAGTACTACATATAAGTGATGAATCATACCCCACCTGTTGTTATCTCAGGAATGACAACACATGGGGTATGAATACACACCAGTACTATATATAAGAGATGAATCATACCCCACCTGTTATCCCCTGTATGACAACACATGGGGTATGAATACACACCAGTACTACATATACCGTATTCGACGTAATAAGCGCCCCCTGTGATATTTGCTAATATATTGGCTGGTGAACAATCCCAATTAGCATCCCTTCCGATTGATCAATGTCCACAAGACTTATTTATTCGCGTATGATACACACTCGTGTGTTATATGCATTATTAATTATGGGCAATTTAATTCTGGAAAAATGTATCTGTCGCATATGAACATTTCCGTGTGTCAGCATGGTCAGCATAGACCACGAAATATATCTTTCAACTCTCTTTTTTTCACCAAAATAACATTCTAATAAGAGCCCCCTTTTTCTAATTTTGAGTCCGCCCTGGGCCATTGTCAGGCACTTACTTTCAAAAATGTACTTAAACATTTTTACAATTTCATCTATTGTAACAATGACATTGCATTATCACACCTGATCACCATGCAATAGGAATCAGCTGAACACACTAAGATTTTGTACAGGGGCATTTCTACTCCCAAGACTAAATAGTCAACAACCCTGGTGCTATCAGGAACATAACCAAATGTTTCAAAGTATGAACTGTTAGTGAAATGACATGAAAACAAGTTAAAATTGTTACAATTCATTTAACTTATTATCCATGGTGGTCCAATGATTAAGACACTTTATTATTACTCTAACGTTCTAAAGTTCAACTTCCACGTAATATTTATCAATTCTAAGATACATGTATACAATGTTTACATGTTCTCAGTAACTTTCCACTACCTCGTGACCTTAACCTTCATGTGCAATGTCAAAGCTCACAGGTCATGTCGTGACCTCTTCAAAGCTCATGCATTTTGAAGCACATGCTCACCAGTGTGTATTGGACCTCCATGCTGCCAGGTTCTCACCTTACTGCCTGCTATATTTGAACTATGTAAAGACACATGTGAGTACCTTTCCCTTTCATTGTTAGGTTTTATGTTTATTTCTGAACACCTTGAAATTGTATATATGCCAAAACATTAATTTAGTGCAAAATTGCTTAGATATTTCACACAACTGTTACATTATATTTGCAAATGTGTGCTTGGTAATTTTGCATAATTGCAATGTAGTCAATGTATATATTGCTTCATTGGGATGTAATTTCGAATGTGTTAAATACTAGGAAAATTGGCAAATGTTTCTGAATTTACAGAATGCTATTGTTTATTGTAGTTTTCTGAACCTCATGAACTTGTCGGTGCTTCAACGTGTCACCAATTGTTCCTAAAGCCATGGCTCTGACTATAAACTGTATTATGTTTAACGTCACAAAATAAACCCTGTTGATGCGAGTGTTAGTTTTGTCGTCTTGCATCCACAAAGACAGTTTAAAAATAAAAGCACATACTTTAGCAAACAATGAACTGTATGAACATTACACATTTGTAGCTGCAACATACAACCCAAAATTAATCTGGATATATGTTAAGGAATGTAGATTATATTCTGGCATCTGAAACAACAGTACAAGTCAGCAGGGGATGGACCACTTTCAAACATCATTATGCATTTATACTCAAGGTATCAACCAAGAACATTTTTGTATACAGCCACAGAAGAGAAGTATCAGTCACTCATATTGCGCAATGCATATGGGACATACATAATCCCCCCTCTGGGCTTTGATCGATATTGATGCATGAAAAGTGCATCCATCTCCCGCAGACATCACAACAAATCCAGCATTGTTCACTTGTTGGCCTACAACATCCTAACATGTCACATGTTGATCGTTGTGAAGGAGGCTGTTTTGCTGCTTGCAGCAATGAAGATGAGACATACTGTCTCATGTATGTTGCCATATCTGTATTCAGCTCTTGTATTGGGATGTTGTTCACTATGGCAAGGGCATTCTGGGGAAAAAATAAATGCCGTTGATTACCATGTTATTTTATGAAGTATTAAAGATGGAAACTGGAGAGAAGTTAATCCCCCTCAACACGTTTTCAGCAGTGTTCAGGAGGTATTTGCATGCGTGTGTCTGTCCATGGCAACAACTTTGATTTAGACTGAAAATGTCCTTAATTCTCATTTGGGGAAAATGAAACAAAATTAAAAATGCAGGTGAACAGGTAAACTACACTAAGGTTATGAAATGTATGAATAATGAAACCTAATATAACAGTGATGATGTTTATGACTATTGAAACCTTGTACCGAAGTGAGAGAATGTATGAACTGTGTATCATTACACAAATGTTATAATGTTAGCACCTAAATCTAAAACATCGGTAACAAATATTGTGAGATATGATTCAGAAATAGTTTTGGAAACAATTATGTCTCTAACATGTCCATAGTTTGCTCTCTTTTTTTGGGTGGAAACAAATTAATCCCCAAATCCCATTACCTTTGACATGGAATCAATATAGCTAGTCATTTTTAATGGAACATACCATCAGTACAAATGGGCCACAGCTGCTTCCGTCACTGTTTGGAAGACACAAGATCCCCTTCCTCCCAGTCTGGAAGTTCCCCAGCAACAGATGCTCTCAACTTCATGTACTTTCTGCAGTAAATATTAATGAAGCATACATATTCCTAAATTCATATAATGTATTTTATGTATGATTGGGGAAATAATGAAATAATAGGTTATTGTTGGTTTGTTTGTTTGAAGAACAAGCAATATTAACAATCATTGTCTATGTATGATGACCTCTTGGTCTTACAATAGAAATTACTGTACTCAAGTACATGTGTGTCATACCTGACCCGAATTTGAATGTCTACATGGTCTAAGTATCATGCCACACAACTAACAAGTAATTTGTCATTCCTTCTAAGCAACATCTATGTCAACTTACATCCAGGCAATACTGTTTCTTGTCCATTGATGTAAGTGCAAGACATATTGTATAGAAATGAAGATATGAATTATTTCCCTCAATCGGGTACTTGGCCATCTGTACCTGAAATATGCTGGTTTACCTGATTACCAGTCACCCTGTTCAAAGCCCAAGCAGTTGTATGTCTTTTTGTGTTCATTTTTTACTTTTAAGTGTGCCTTTTAGTTTGACTGTTATTCATATACTAACTTCCACTTCTCTATGCGTGTACTGCTTCCTGGTGTTGGCAATGAATCCAGTATGGCGACTGTCCTCTTGTAAACATCTGCAACAAGCAGGACCCAGTGGTTGCGGTTGACATTCACAGGCATAAAAATCCACTTGTACAAGGAGAGTTTCACCTGCAAACATATGACATACCATTAGTAACATATAATCTTTCTCATTTCAGCAAAAGAGGGAAAAGTATTGGTTAACAGATGACAGGATACAGATTGACAGAAGTTCCACATGCCATTGGACCTTTTGGGCTAAGCATTAGCAAGAGCAAAGAAAAACAGTAGAGACAACTACTTGTATGAGAATATGCCTATATGCTCAATATTAAAATTAAAATATTAGCTGACATATAATAAATTCCATACCTTCTTGTACATCCATGTTCCATACTGATCATTTTCCCAGAGCACTGCCAGGTAAGATGGGATCACAAAGACATGTTCCATGGATTTTCTGTTTTCCTCCTCCATGATTTTTTTCAGGAACGTATTTATAACCTATAACCATGTAAGTGTATTATTAGTATTTATTTTAGTGTTGTAGGTAATGTGAGCTGATGTCATGAATGTTTGGTGCGTAGTACATCGAATCATTAATAAACCAAAAAAATTTAAACTTATCCTATCAGTGCCAGAATCCAGAAAGAAGGATGAAATGTATAGAGTGAGATAGGATAAATATAATGAATATACAACTTATTGTAGAATGTACAATATTATCATACCGGTAACTGTTATGCATAAAAAAATATGAATATATCCAAATTACATGGGATAATATTGTTTATGAATGTAGTCCACTAATCAGTATTACCCACATTATTCTCTCCTGTTAAACTGCATTGTATATGTAACGGTATATACTAATTCAGAAAGGGATGTCATAAAACAAAATGTGTACACTACCTTGTCATTGAACCAGTTGTTGTTTTGCAATGTTTGAAAATCTCTGTCTTCCAAAACCTCCCCGTGCACATAATAGCGCAGGCCTTTCTTGGTCAAGGTTATTGCCTGAGCAGATGCTCCCACTTGAATCATGTCTAAGAACTCTGATGCCCTGTACCATGAAAAAGAAAAGGTTTAGGTTATAATATTAACAAATCAATTAAGTCAACATCTTTTTCCTCAAACATGATCACAAACATTGAGTTCACATTTTCAAGTGCTTTAGATTAGTTCTTTATAATTTCATGATAACTGAACCATTTCAAGGCATTCAGTCATTATTTGTTGCGTAATTCATTACATTTAGTATATACAGTAATACCATTGTATCCCCTTACCTTTTTCAACACCTATTTGAGTAACGGTCACCACTGACAGTGAAGAGGTTGAAACTGATAAAATAAATATGATAATGAGTTACCAAATAATTATTGAAGAAAAAGCTAAAGTTCAAGGTCAGTTGTTTCGAAGTATGCATCATTAACCCTTGTGACCATGGTTATGTGAGTAGTTTAAATATTTATGTGGCATGAATTAACATTAATGACAATGACATGAAGTGTGTATTTTTTTTTTTTTAAATGATTATCAGCATAGGGTGTCCAACATGATGAAATTATTACCAGGTGCCATGTCCTCACAGTGACTTGTCTTCTGTTTTTTATATCCTGTAAAAATGAATTATTTTTCCTTTTCAAAGATGTCCGTCATGTCATGCAAGAGTGAAAGTATGTGTGAAGGATTAAATAAGTTAATTTATTGAAAAAATGTATGATGTCTTACTAATTTTGTTAACAAGCGCTACTGGCACAATGCCAGGGATCCACTAAAGATTGAGGGGATGCGGAAGAATATCAACCTTCGACTGACCACTGAGTCAAAGAGCTTTGTGTGACATGCTCTGTAAGCTACGACACACCTGAACTGGACTGCTTCCTCCTTTTTCTGGCTGGTAATTCTCTGAACCTCTTGGTACACTTTTGTGGAGGATCACACAATAATATACCATCCGTTTTAGGAGCATGAACCATGAGTTCATTTGCAACCATCTGCAAGTCTGATTTGGCTTTCTGCAGAGCCTTTGCAGAATCTACCAGTTATGTCAGACCTTGTATTGCAGCAATGACCTCTCACAGACTTGGCACTGCTTGCCAGGTGCAGTGATGAATCTTCCACTGGATTTATCATGGTAGCTTGTTTAAGGCAATCATGATTGTTGATGGCAGATTGGGATGGGGAAATATCTTCAGCTGCTTTAGTGTGTGGAGGAAGAAGGTTCACACAATCATCATCAACAGTGATGATTGGATGAGACCTGTAGAAGTTGGGCAGTGAAGTCCAACTCACACCAGGCACATGCCGGAACACAGCTGCAAAGTGTTTGCAAGGTAAATGGACCTTACAGAATTGCCGACAAGTGCATGATGGAATGGATTTGGTTTCCTCACTACCCAAGAAGACACTATAAGTGTGTTTAGTGCCATCTGCTTTAACCTCATACAGGCCTCCTTCCACCTCCGTCACCATGTTTACAGTGATGTCAGCAGATTTCTGCTCCAGCACCCTCATGTGTTTTATGAATGGAGCTGGGCGATGGTGGTATTCCACGGGAATGTTCTCCATCCCCTCCCTCCATCCCGCTGACATGGTCACATTGGCATCCAGGTACCTACAAATGCAATTAGTAAGTACAAATATGGGTTTCATGTTCCTAGTATTGCAAAATTTGCCATAAGAGTCAGCACTTGACTGTATCATTGTCTCCCCAAAGTGGGAACAATCTGTTCTCGCTATAAAACACACTGCCCACGTTAATTAGTGACAGATGTTTGATAAAGCTGGACTATTACCCACTATGGCATTAAACATCTACTTTTCATTGACCTAAATTATTCTATGTAATAAAAGTAATGAAATTACTGACAAATGTAACTGACAAATGAAAATCTACTCATCATGGAAGGATGAACACATTATATTGAAATGTACAGTTCTAAGTATGTTACAATGACTTTCTAATACTAAGACAAACACCAGAACCAGTTTATAAGTAATAAGTTTCGTTAAGCAGGGTGCAGCTAGAGTGAAATAAGGTGCAAGGTGGCTTGAGAAGACACAGTAACATCTAGTACATCATTATAATAATATAGTTGCATTAGTTTTTATGTAGGATTAAAATGTTTTTATCTAATGTATTCAAGACAGTTTATCAGATTAGTAGTATATTTATTATGTTTAGCGACATGTATTGTTTCTGAAACAACTAATGGTATTTAAAGGAATAACATATCATTTCAAAGCTAGTAATGGAAACTTCTTCCCTATACACACAAAGGACATGCATGTTAAAGGTATGGGACAGGGTACAAAGCATAAGGGAATGAGAAGTTGTGCATAGACTAATTAACCATACTCACCATTACTCAAGTTACTGCAACTTAAATAGTATTTGTTAACTTTTTATTTTTTTCAAAAAAATATAATTTTATCTTATCCTGACTCATACTTATTGCTTATCTCTCTCTTCCGAATAGGTAGTGGAAACGTCCTGTGCTGTTCCCAAAGAACAGAGAAAACAGCTCACCCAAACACACCCTCACTCTGCGCATGCGCACCGGAACCATGTGATCAAGCCCATTAACTCATCACTCTCTCTTATTTCCTACTTAATGGTCGGAACACATCAGTGGAAAGAGGGGAAGCCCGGAGGGTACTCGTTTGTATGAGTCAGGATGAGTATAAATAATATTTTTACTCTTAAAAAATACATAATATTGAAAAACTGTGTAAAAACAGATAATGCAGACTTACACATACAAGACCTATTTATCAAACAAAAAGAAGCTATGATCTGTGTGTGGGTATATATTCATATTTTATGGAAGAATTTTAACACATTCTTTTGGACTTACTTTCGATGAGCATCTTCAAAGAAGTTGTCAACCAAGGTAGACATCAGACCACTTAGAGCTTTCACTCTAAATGGGGCCAAGTATTCATATTTAAACAGCTTATTTTGAGCTTCTACACCATTGTTTGTGTTTACAACAAATGACAACAAGCTGTTCCTGAAGGCCCATACCCATTTCTGAAAAGATGGAAAGTCAACATATTTTGGAATGTTTGAAACATTTCTGTGTGAAATATATCTCTTAACATACAAACTCAAACTTGTAAGAGGGCAGTTTGATGCTATGTCAGATACTACGGGTAAGTTAAGTAACAAATGGTACATAATGCATCAAAATTACTTCAGTCATGTTACTGCCAAATATACTAGAAACATTGGAAATGGATTAATCTACAATTAGTTCATACACTTTGCTAATTCACTACCCGTGTAATCGAAACATTTTAAATGTCATGCAAGGTAGACCATAACTGATACATTACCCCCTGTGTATTGTTTGGTAAAGAAAAAAATAATGTACCATTCCTCATATATTAATGGTAATTATTTATCCATGATTGATGATAACTATACATGTAGTTACCAACCTTATATTTGTCCTCTGCCAGCCAATGATTGATGATGTAATTTCTGAACCTCAAGTTGCTCCAAATTGAGCTTTGCCTCAGCACCTCTTTGTTTGTCTCAAATTCCTCAGTTGTTAACGATTCTGCAACACAATGTGGATAAATAATTTAATCAAATACAAATCATATTCAACCTTTCTTAAATCCCTGACAAAGGTTCAGAAATGTTGATCAGTTGATATTGCCAGATATTGATATAAGAGTTCAATTACGTATAATGTTGTGTAATCTCTATATGAGGTTATACCATTTATTACTGTACTTTGTTCATTATGATAACATGTTCACCAGGTGTGACTTTATGTAATGTATTTTGTCTAATTATTGTTCTTACAGACTGTCTTCTTCCACTACTATGGAATAAACTCACAACCCAGAGCCTGTGGTTACCACTATCTCATGGCTGCAACACATCCCCTGCTGATTTGTGGAATGGACGGACAGATAACTGTCAAACTTACATTCAGCAATCTCATTATTTCTTCCTGGTGTTCAGCCACTCCATTCTTAACAGCAGATGTCCACCGCTGCCAAGCCTGTTTCCTGTGGAAGTCACAAATAAAAATGTCGGCATCTGCAAGATAAAGGGTAAGGATTTTGTGGCTTTTTGGGAGGGGGTGTGTGAAAAAATTGTGAAATATATTACAATGAATATCGTTAGACTTGCCATATCAATAACGTACAAGTATATTCACAATGATATGTTTGTAAGAACCAACTGTAACACATGCATACTTTCTCAACATAAATTACAGTACTTTCATACTTTACTCTTTATAATCCAGACCTGTGAAGAGAATAGGTATTCAGCAACCCATGCTTGCCTAAGAGGCGACTATTCTTGTACTAATCAGATTGGGTGGTCAAGTCTTGCTTGGTTGATTCTTGTCATCGTATACTAACTGCGTGGATCGATACGTATGTCAATGACTGGATTGTCTTGTCCAGACTTGATTATTTACAGACCGCTGTCATAAAGCTGGAATATTGCTGAGTGTGGCGTAAAACAACAAACAAACTTTATAATCTGTGTAACTTTAACATACACTGACCTTGAAATGTGTTTGCTATTGCATTTGCTTCAATCTCAGAAGCATCTATCATGAAGCTTTTAGGTTGCCACGATGAATTATTCCCCTTGATGACTCCAAGTGCCTCCCCGACTGAAAGAATCCTCATGCTCAACAACAAAAGTCGCAACAACGGCATATCCTTCGTTAGTTCTTACGCATAAGAACAGTGGCAGAGCATACCTCGTTGTTCTGTAAGTAGCATCCAAAAAGACAATCTCTTGTCCATATCTATTCAGCAGCTTTTGTTGCCAATCCCATTGGTAAACAAGGAGCAAACTGTTACATGAATGTCTACCTTCATCATTTGATGTTGTGGAAGGTCTAAAATGCCAACTTTTGGAAGGTCTTGTTTTCTTCCAATTTTCGATTTTATTTTGGAGGAATTCTTGGTCCAATAGGCCCCGCTGAAGTTTTCTACGTTCTCTATATATAATCTTCCTGAAGTCTTCCCTGCTGGGAAAAAACCTTCTCTTAAATCTCTTTGGCATGATCTTTTCTGCAAAGAGACTTTCAACAAATATTTGTGAATGTCGCTTCATTTCATTGACATTAAAAATGCCATCATGGACCCTTTGTTTGATGTTATCAGTGAGGCGGGGGTCAATCGGAGCTTTCAAATCTGCAGCCTGAAAAAGAATCAAAATTACAGTTATAACTGAAGTGAATTCAATTCCTATGTCATACAGGGGATAACAGGTGAGGTATGATTCATCACTTATATGTAGTACTGGTGTGTATTCATACCCCATGTGTTGTCACATAGGGGATAACAGGTGAGGTATGATTCATCACTTATATGTAGTACTGGTGTGTATTCATACCCCATGTGTTGTCACATAGGGGATATGAGGTGAGGTATGATTCATCACTTATATGTAGTACTGGTGTGTATTCATACCCCATGTGTTGTCACATAGGGGATAACAGGTGAGGTATGATTCATCACTTATATGTAGTACTGGTGTGTATTCATACCCCATGTGTTGTCACATAGGGGATAACAGGTGAGGTATGATTCATCTCTTATATGTAGTACTGGTGTGTATTCATACCCCATGTGTTGTCATACAGAGGATAACAACAGGTGAGGTATGATTCATCTCTTATATGTAGTACTGGTGTGTATTCATACCCCATGTGTTGTCATACAGAGGATAACAACAGGTGAGGTATGATTCATCACTTATATGTAGTACTGGTGTGTATTCATACCCCATGTGTTGTCACATAGGGGATAACAGGTGAGGTATGATTCATCAGTTATATGTAGTACTGGTGTGTATTCATACCCCATGTGTTGTCATACAAAGGATAACACTGGGGGTATGATTCATCACTTATATGTAGTACTGGTGTGTATTCATACCCCATGTGTTGTCATACAGGGGATAACAGGTGAGGTATGATTCATCACTTATATGTAGTACTGGTGTGTATTCATACCCCATGTGTTGTCATACAGAGGATAACAACAGGTGAGGTATGTTTCATAACTTATATGTAGTACTGATGTGTATTCATACCCCATGTGTTGTCACATAGGGGATAACAGGTGAGGTATGATTCATCACTTATATGTAGTACTGGTGTGTATTCATACCCCATGTGTTGTCACATAGGGGATAACAGGTGAGGTATGATTCATCACTTATATGTAGTACTGGTGTGTATTCATACCCCATGTGTTGTCATACAGGGGATAACAGGTGAGGTATTATTCATCACTTATATGTAGTACTGGTGTGTATTCATACCCCATGTGTTGTCACATAGGGGATAACAGGTGAGGTATGATTCATCACTTATATGTAGTACTGGTGTGTATTCATACCCCATGTGTTGTCACATAGGGGATAACAGGTGAGGTATGATTCATCACTTATATGTAGTACTGGTGTGTATTCATACCCCATGTGTTGTCACATAGGGGATAACAGGTGAGGTATGATTCATCACTTATATGTAGTACTGGTGTGTATTCATACTCCATGTGTTGTCACATAGGGGATAACAGGTGAGGTATGATTCATCTCTTATATGTAGTACTGGTGTGTATTCATACCCCATGTGTTGTCATACAGAGGATAACAACAGGTGAGGTATGATTCATCTCTTATATGTAGTACTGGTGTGTATTCATACCCCATGTGTTGTCACATAGGGGATAACAGGTGAGGTATGATTCATCACTTATATGTAGTACTGGTGTGTATTCATACCCCATGTGTTGTCACATAGGGGATAACAGGTGAGGTATGATTCATCACTTATATGTAGTACTGGTGTGTATTCATACCCCATGTGTTGTCACATAGGGGATAACAGGTGAGGTATGATTCATCACTTATATGTAGTACTGGTGTGTATTCATACCCCATGTGTTGTCATTCAGGGGATAACAGGTGAGGTATGATTCATCACTTATATGTAGTACTGGTGTGTATTCATACCCCATGTGTTGTCACATAGGGGATAACAGGTGAGGTATGATTCATCACTTATATGTAGTACTGGTGTGTATTCATACCCCATGTGTTGTCACATAGGGGATAACAGGTGAGGTATGATTCATCACTTATATGTAGTACTGGTGTGTATTCATACCCCATGTGTTGTCACATAGGGGATAACAGGTGAGGTATGATTCATCTCTTATATGTAGTACTGGTGTGTATTCATACCCCATGTGTTGTCATACAGAAGATAACAACAGGTGAGGTATGATTCATCTCTTATATGTAGTACTGGTGTGTATTCATACCCCAAGTGTTGTCATACAGAGGATAACAACAGGTGAGGTATGATTCATCACTTATATGTAGTACTGGTGTGTATTCATACCCCATGTGTTGTCACATAGGGGATAACAGGTGAGGTATGATTCATCAGTTATATGTAGTACTGGTGTGTATTCATACCCCATGTGTTGTCATACAAAGGATAACACTGGGGGTATGATTCATCACTTATATGTAGTACTGGTGTGTATTCATACCCCATGTGTTGTCATACAGGGGATAACAGGTGAGGTATGATTCATCACTTATATGTAGTACTGGTGTGTATTCATACCCCATGTGTTGTCATACAGAGGATAACAACAGGTGAGGTATGTTTCATAACTTATATGTAGTACTGATGTGTATTCATACCCCATGTGTTGTCACATAGGGGATAACAGGTGAGGTATGATTCATCACTTATATGTAGTACTGGTGTGTATTCATACCCCATGTGTTGTCACATAGGGGATAACAGGTGAGGTATGATTCATCACTTATATGTAGTACTGGTGTGTATTCATACCCCATGTGTTGTCACATAGGGGATAACAGGTGAGGTATGATTCATCACTTATATGTAGTACTGGTGTGTATTCATACCCCATGTGTTGTCATACAGGGGATAACAGGTGAGGTATGATTCATCACTTATATGTAGTACTGGTGGGTATTCATACCCCATGTGTTGTCACATAGGGGATAACAGGTGAGGTATGATTCATCACTTATATGTAGTACTGGTGTGTATTCATACCCCATGTGTTGTCACATAGGGGATAACAGGTGAGGTATGATTCATCACTTATATGTAGTACTGGTGTGTATTCATACCCCATGTGTTGTCACATAGGGGATAACAGGTGAGGTATGATTCATCACTTATATGTAGTACTGGTGTGTATTCATACTCCATGTGTTGTCACATAGGGGATAACAGGTGAGGTATGATTCATCTCTTATATGTAGTACTGGTGTGTATTCATACCCCATGTGTTGTCATACAGAGGATAACAACAGGTGAGGTATGATTCATCTCTTATATGTAGTACTGGTGTGTATTCATACCCCATGTGTTGTCACATAGGGGATAACAGGTGAGGTATGATTCATCACTTATATGTAGTACTGGTGTGTATTCATACCCCATGTGTTGTCACATAGGGGATGACAGGTGAGGTATGATTCATCACTTATATGTAGTACTGGTGTGTATTCATACCCCATGTGTTGTCACATAGGGGATAACAGGTGAGGTATGATTCATCACTTATATGTAGTACTGGTGTGTATTCATACCCCATGTGTTGTCACATAGGGGATAACAGGTGAGGTATGATTCATCACTTATATGTAGTACTGGTGTGTATTCATACCCCATGTGTTGTCACATAGGGGATAACAGGTGAGGTATGATTCATCTCTTATATGTAGTACTGGTGTGTATTCATACCCCATGTGTTGTCATACAGAGGATAACAACAGGTGAGGTATGATTCATCTCTTATATGTAGTACTGGTGTGTATTCATACCCCATGTGTTGTCACATAGGGGATAACAGGTGAGGTATGATTCATCACGTATATGTAGTACTGGTGTGTATTCATACCCCATGTGTTGTCATACAGAGGATAACAACAGGTGAGGTATGATTCATCACTTATATGTAGTACTGGTGTGTATTCATACCCCATGTGTTGTCACATAGGGGATAACAGGTGAGGTATGATTCATCACTTATATGTAGTACTGGTGTGTATTCATACCCCATGTGTTGTCATACAGGGGATAACAGGTGAGGTATGATTCATCACTTATATGTAGTACTGGTGTGTATTCATACCCCATGTGTTGTCACATAGGGGATAACAGGTGAGGTATGATTCATCACTTATATGTAGTACTGGTGTGTATTCATACCCCATGTGTTGTCACATAGGGGATAACAGGTGAGGTATGATTCATCACTTATATGTAGTACTGGTGTGTATTCATACCCCATGTGTTGTCACATAGGGGATAACAGGTGAGGTATGATTCATCTCTTATATGTAGTACTGGTGTGTATTCATACCCCATGTGTTGTCATACAGAGGATAACAACAGGTGAGGTATGATTCATCTCTTATATGTAGTACTGGTGTGTATTCATACCCCATGTGTTGTCATACAGAGGATAACAACAGGTGAGGTATGATTCATCTCTTATATGTAGTACTGGTGTGTATTCATACCCCATGTGTTGTCATACAGAGGATAACAGGTGGGGTATGATTCATCACTTATATGTAGTACTGGTGTGTATTCATACCCCATGTGTTGTCATACAGGGGATAACAGGTGAGGTATGATTCATCACTTATATGTAGTACTGGTGTGTATTCATACCCCATGTGTTGTCATACAGAGGATAACAACAGGTGAGGTATGATTCATCACTTATATGTAGTACTGGTGTGTATTCATACCCCATGTGTTGTCACATAGGGGATAACAGGTGAGGTATGATTCATCAGTTATATGTAGTACTGGTGTGTATTCATACCCCATGTGTTGTCACATAGGGGATAACAGGTGAGGTATGATTCATCACTTATATGTAGTACTGGTGTGTATTCATACCCCATGTGTTGTCACATAGGGTATAACAGGTGAGGTATGATTCATCACTTATATGTAGTACTGGTGTGTATTCATACCCCATGTGTTGTCACATAGGGGATAACAGGTGAGGTATGATTCATCACTTATATGTAGTACTGGTGTGTATTCATACCCCATGTGTTGTCATACAGGGGATAACAGGTGAGGTATGATTCATCACTTATATGTAGTACTGGTGTGTATTCATACCCCATGTGTTGTCACATAGGGGATAACAGGTGAGGTATGATTCATCTCTTATATGTAGTACTGGTGTGTATTCATACCCCATGTGTTGTCATACAGAGGATAACAACAGGTGAGGTATGATTCATCTCTTATATGTAGTACTGGTGTGTATTCATACCCCATGTGTTGTCACATAGGGGATAACAGGTGAGGTATGATTCATCACTTATATGTAGTACTGGTGTGTATTCATACCCCATGTGTTGTCACATAGGGGATAACAGGTGAGGTATGATTCATCTCTTATATGTAGTACTGGTGTGTATTCATACCCCATGTGTTGTCACATAGGGGATAACAGGTGAGGTATGATTCATCACTTATATGTAGTACTGGTGTGTATTCATACCCCATGTGTTGTCATACAGGGGATAATAGGTGAGGTATGATTCATCACTTATATGTAGTACTGGTGTGTATTCATACCCCATGTGTTGTCACATAGGGGATAACAGGTGAGGTATGATTCATCACTTATATGTAGTACTGGTGTGTATTCATACCCCATGTGTTGTCACATAGGGGATAACAGGTGAGGTATGATTCATCACTTATATGTAGTACTGGTGTGTATTCATACCCCATGTGTTGTCACATAGGGGATAACAGGTGGGGTATGATTCATCACTTATATGTAGTACTTGGGTGTATTCATACCCCATGTGTTCTCATTCCTGAGATAACAACAGGTGGGGTATGGTTCATCACTTATATGTAGTACTGGTGTGTATTCATACCCCATGTGTTGTCATATAGGGGATAACAACAGGTGGGGTATGATTCATCTCTTATGGTGTGTATTCATACCCAATGTGTTGTCATACAGAGGATAACAACAGGTGGGGTATGATTCATCTCTTATATATAGTACTGGTGTGTATTCATACCCCATGTGTTGTCATATAGGGGATAACAACAGGTGGGGTATGGATCATCACTTATATGTAGTACTGGTGTGTATTCATACCCCATGTGTTGTCATATAGGGGATAACAGTAGGTGGGGTATGATTCATCACTTATATGTAGTACTGGTGTGTATTCATACCCCATGTGTTGTCATACAGAGGATAACAACAGGTGAGTTATGATTCATCTCTTATGGTGTGTATTCATACCCCATGTGTTGTCATTCCTGATGTCATCTGTTTTGTTCTATGACGTTTCCATATTTGTAAAAATGGGTCAGTGACATTTGTGTTTGTGAAGTATGATTCATCACTTATATGTTCGACTGGGATGTATTCATGCCCCATGTGTTGTCACACAGAGGATAACAACGGGTGAGGTATGATTCATTTTTTGTATGTATTACCTGTCCCATGATATGGTTGGAATGAAGGTCCTCAGATGGTAGGTCAATATAAATGAGCTTTTCCCTTCTGACATCATCATACACAGGTGATTCTAATACAGTTCTGAGCTCTTGGGACTTCAGTTGCTTGTGGTGATGAGATTCACTCATTAGCTGCACAAACAACATTTTTGTGTATTTACTACTTTAAGCATTGTTTGGGATTTTGAGTGACAACAGGTTACGATATGAATTCTGAGTAAACATGTTTATTTGTCCACATCTTATGTTGATTTTTTTCAAGTTTTTCTTTCGGATTCTATGGTGTTTTTTGTATTAAAATAAAATACCAGGATATCCACTGTCACAAAAATGGCCCATGCAGTATAAAGTGTAGTTTTCAGGTTGTGATCTTCAGCATTATGACACATTTAACCACTTATTACCTTGTAATCGGGAAAGGTGATCACCTCCCAAAGGTAAATTGCAGCAGAACAACCTCTCTTTTTGCTTCCAGTAATTTTCTTTGCCGGAATATTTTGTGAATATCCGTGGTCATATTCATGGTGGTCCTAAATACAAGAAGTTACACTTGTAATATGTGATTGTAAACACTTTTTGTAGGAACATGCTTTTTTACCCCCGGACTTCGGGGGGGGGGGGGGGGGGGGGGGGGGGATGTGAGAGGGAGGAAGAGATGTGTCGGAAACCAGGACCAGCACAATAATTTTATTGTAAATTGTGAAATATGGAGCAGTGAAAACTTACTTGTACTTTCGGATCTTGCATGTTTAATTACTTATGTTTATTATTTTTAATTAAACTACCAATTTAGATATAAAAACTTCCAGGGACATGTATAAGAAAGTGCTGATGTTGGGTTTCCAGGTGACTACAAAAAAAACTTACACTGGGCTTGTTTTTTCGGTGATTTGGACCCTGATGGCATTCCATGAGCCGGGATCCAACAACAACAAATGGGATTCCATTGAGATTTATCGGAGATCCATGTTTTATTTTCCCATCATCTTGGAAGCGTATTAGATGGTTCTGCAAGGAGGGTCCTACAATACATGATGTAATGTCAAAACATTACACATTTCATGAGCATATAATTCTAAGGTCTGACAATCTTGTGACAACTGTGAATATCAATAAATATTTCATACACAGGTCAACTTTCAAAAATGAGACAACTTGATCAATACATAAGCTTACATAAGCGAAAATATCAGAAGATGAGATTAAATCTAGTTTTACAGAACTGACCAAAAATCATGTTTTGCAAAAGTTGGGAATAAGTATTATAGGCATAAAATAATAGATAAAAGAATAGTAATTAACAAGTCATTAAGACACTCATAGTAATTATATAAATAAACAAGATGAGGGACTAACAGAGTAAGAAATAGGTATAACACATGGGAAGATATAGGAAGGGCAGGCGATATAGGAATTGAACACAGGAGACATACTGGGTCACTGTTAACCAGGGGTGACAGTACTAGGTCGAGGGTCGGGGTGATAGAGCAAAACAATAAAGGTAACATAACAAGGGAACATACAGGTTGCCAAAGACAAAATAGATTGGGAAAAGAAACGTAAGGGAAATTGCCCTCGGATTCATATATGGTTTGGGGGGTGACAGTACAGACTCTGGAAGTCAAGACGGTCACATTACCACAAGTCCTAAAAAGAACCTAGAGATTAGACAACAGTGGGCTAGGACGACCTAATGTCAGGGGAGATAGGTGGATGGCCAATGACAATGGAAAAAATGAGTAAGGCCATGACGTAAGTCAGGAGTAAAAAGACAAGGAAACGGGGGTTCAGGACGGCTGGAGGATCCCACTTGAACACTGTGGTCGCGTTCTAATATTCGAAAAGAAACATACAAACCTCCAGTATTTGGACTAGGGATTGAAGCCTTGCGGCCGAAGTCCTGTAATTATCAAGTGACCATAGAGTGGGTTGACCAACAACACTAGAGTGAATAAAAGCTGTTGAACGAAGATCACTCTTTGTAGTTGTTGGAGTAACTACGGTAATAAATCCAAGGCCCTCGGGTACTGACATTGTACCTCTCGCTCGTCCCCGAGCGTCAGCACCAGAAACGAGGGGATTACCGTGGTTAGGTCGAAGAAGTACTGGAATTGCCATCCGGGTAATCAACAACAATTACCGTATTTTACCATCATAAATATACCTTGGATATGTGGTGGACTGATGCGGGGTACGATCTTCCATGGCAGTCCAAAAGGCATTGTCGGGTAACGTTGTGCAGCGGGTGCACAAGTAAGATAACGCTGCGCAGCGGTTGCGCAAGCAAAAGCAGAACGGTGCGGCGGTCACACAGATAAAAGTGACGTGGTACAGCGATTGATGACAAAAGGTATTGTCGGGTGACGTTTTTCAGCGGTCACACGAACAAAGTAATATTGCGCAGCGTTTGCGCAAGTGAAACTGGACTTGTGCAGCGGTTGCACAAGTAAGGTAACTGCGTACAGTATTACGCAAGTCAGTTAATAACGCAGAGAAGTAGAGCGGGTGAAGTACCCGTTCTGGAACGGTCACCGGGAAAGAGATCACTGGCACGGGAAGGAACGGTGCAGACGGCTGCACAGCCACGACCACACCGAGATCAAGGGGGACGATTGGAAAGGGACTGAAGGGTGCCGAATCAAGAGGGCGGGAGAAGGGAAAGAAATCTGAACAGAACCATAAGTGGTGACATTTTTGACGTTTGACTTTTGTGCGTGGTGCCAAGTTCTTGGGACCAAGTCATTCGGGTAAGCAGATCTTTGATGCATGAGATTGTATATATCCATACGTGTATACATTGTAAAAGAGCGAGATCCCTGAATTAATCATGCCACTTACTCCTCACGTTACTGATAAACCAATATCGGTGAAGCCGGTAAACCAACAATGCCTGACACCAGTCCCTACTTCCAACCCAGCCTGGTCGGCACTGTTTTCATCACCACCTGCTAGTAATGAAGTATGCCCTGATGACATAGCTAGCGCCACAACCATGACTAGCACTACAACCGTAATGTCAATGGTCTCACCTATTCCAGCGCCTAGTAGCTTGATATTTGACCACCCCCCTCTGCCATTTCAATGGTCACCCTTCAACACTCCTGTAACGGGCCCCCAGCTGACACAGCCGGATTATATTTACCACCCCCATCACGAGTACGGTTAACGTTCCCAGTTGTACTGCCCCCCCAGCTTACCAGACAAATACACTGGCTCCCCCGTATAGCGCAAATTCCAGTTCTCCAGTGGGGGGGGGGACCCCACGCACACCATCACAAGAGCTGTTTCACTGTCCGCGGTGCCAATGAATCCATATGATGGCCAGGATCCCCTAAAATCTGAGGGATGGTTAAAAAAGTATGAACGTTACTGTAGAGTACATGGTTACACGGAGGAGGAAAAGCGGGAACTGTTTCCCTTATATCTACCAGCACAGGCCGCACACTGGTTTGAAGGGACAGTAGCTAAAGACAATTGCTCATGGCAAAGCCTTAAGAAGGCATTCCTCCAGCGTTACACCCCAAACTCAATAGTAATGCTTAAAAGAGCAAATGAAGTTATTGATAGAAAACAAAAACAGGCCGAACCATTTGCCGACTTTCTACAAGCAGTCAGGCACCAGGCAGCGATTATTGGCAGGAACAATGACGATTTTTTCAGGGATCTCGTTCTTAGGAATGCTTGCCAAAATGTCAAAAGATTTGTACTCACTAGGCCACACTCTACCCTAGCGGAGGTGGTACGAAGCGCGGAAATCGCTGACGCGACTGATTGCCCTGAAAACGATTCACAGGTCATGCATGCCATTCATTTGTTGAGTGAACAGGTAGATGAGCTTACCACCAACTCACGTCAAAGTACGACACAACCTGTAAATGTGGTAGATTTAAGTCAGTATTTACAACACCAAATACCACAAGATACACCAAATTACTCAGAACATCTGGCAACACCTACTCGACAAAGAAATTACCAAGCACAGAATTATACTTACACCCAGGTGGGATCACCCAACAATCGTAAGGATCGATACTTGCCTCAGAAGAACTATCAGTATAAGACAGAAGGTTATGCCCCCCAACGGAATCCGATACAGAACACTCGTTCATATACGTGTCGGGGATGCGGTATGGCGCATACCCACCCCAGAGAATGTAGGGTCAGATTAATACATTGCTTTCGTTGCAATAAACAGGGACACATTGCTCGACAGTGTACAACACAACTACCCCCAATTTGACGCCAAGTAATTGAAAATAGTCCCACTCACTACCACACACAATGCAACCGCCTCCGTGGTCTTGTGGTAGAGCGTCCGCCCGGAGAGCGGAAGGTCCAGGGTTCGATCCCGGGCCGCGTCATACAAAAAGACGTTAAAAGATTGTACTTGTTGTTACCCTGTCTGTCGCTCGGCATTAAGGGACTAAAACAAGGACTGGTCGGCTCGGAGTCAGTATGCTGTGTCTGAGTGGGGTATTCATGTTAAACTGCGGCATGGTATCTCAGTGAGCTAGCACTATAAATCGGCATCAGTCCGGACTAGTACAAGCAGCCACACACACACATACACGTGCATGCACGTCGCTATATAAGTGCAATAATCTTGGACGCGACGTTAAACCCAATTTCACCTCACCTCACCTCACCACACACAATGCTATCCACATTCTGACATTCCACAAAGCAGAGATGTGCAAAGTGAGCCAGCTCCTCATTCAGCCATCAGTATACAGGGTTCGACACCCGCTGCCTCCCCTCAGTTGACAGTACAAGCCGACCCGATAATAGCCAGACAGGCAGCCTCCAACCCACCCACCCCCCACAAATGACAAACCCCCCCATTGGAGTGCACGAAATCGAAACCATGCACTGAGAGGAGAGTTAGTTTCCTCCTCGATTCCCCCTCCACACCAGTGGACACTCCCGTAGAGCAACAAGTGTTGGAACATCACGATAAGGGCCCAGGTAGTCTCCTACCCACTTCCCTTCTCCAACAAATAAACTCTTCCAGAACACAGTCCTCTACGAAACAACATGTGAATAACCTACCTGACACCCCTACGTTAGACATGGGAAGCCAAACAGATGGCATCCGTACTCCACCTGACTCCCCTACTCACTTAGATTGGGCTGTTGGAAGCAAATCAGAACAACATCACACGGTGACTGGTAATGGAATACATTCTGAGACAGGAATCGACGTCAAGCATCAACGACATTCAGCCAACCACGGGGGACCTCACACCACCTCCCCCCCTCCCGTTATCGTACCGTCCCTGCAGACAATCAACAGTATACACCTGGCAAACAGTATGATAGCCATCAGCATTAAATCTCATGATTTCCGAGCACTAGTAGACACTGGTGCTTCATCTTCATGTCTCAACTTACCTCATTACCAGAGTTTGGGCATCAATGAAACACTACACCCCCCACAAGCTCCACGGGTTAAACTAGTTGGGGCAGATGGCACGCCACTTACAATAACAGGAGTGGTAACACTACCAGTCACAGTAGCACATCTAAAACTGTCTCAGACTTTTTATGTCGTTGAGGGGTTACAACAAGATGTCATATTGGGATTAGATTTCCTAACTGATCACGTAGCTTCGATAGATTTTACCAAACGACAGTTAGTCCTACACAAGGGTCTCACAGCTACACCCTTCTTAACACCATACCACACTTTACCAGCTCGTACGGGAAGCTTGCTTACCATTCCCCCCTACACAGAAGCTTGTTTTTCA